GTCGACAGTAGGATTTGAACCCCAGACCTCTTGCATAGCGGTCTGGCAACCTAACCACTACACTAAGATCGCCAGACCTAATTTATTTTTATTTTTCACTATATAGAAGAATATTATTAGTTTAGTAATATTTAACTATATAGATGAGAAATTATAACAAGTTAAGTAGACTCATATAGTAATACTAATAGATAAAAGATAAAATAGTCTAGTCTTTAAGTTGAATTAAATCTATTTTATAGCAGGTTACAAATAATAGGTATCTTCAGAATAACTGATCAAGTCTTAATATGAATATTTAGTATTTTATATATATAGCCTTTTTTGATTATTAAATTAGGCTTTCAAACCCTTGTAGTTTTTTAATTATATTGAATAAATATTAAAACATAGCTTGCTGAAAAGAAAAAAATAATAATAATAAACTAAAAAAAATTTTTATTTTATTTATTTTAGAGTTAAAACAAGACTTAAGATTTTATTTAGATTTGGTGATCTAGTATAGTAGTTAAATTATCAGATTGCTATGCAATAGGTCTAAGTTTCAAATCCTACTATTAATGAATTTAAATAATTTTCTAAACCTTATAATATATTATAGTAAACTCTGTTCATTTCTAGAGTCATATTTCTGTAAATTAAGTTATACTAAATTATTAAAACTTAGAAATATAATATAATATTATATAAATAAATCTTAATAGAATATATAAGCAAAGAATCTGCATAGTAGAAATTCTAAATTAATGAAGTAATATAATCTTCTGACAAGACTACATTAGCTAAAGTCTGATTTAAAAAGAAAAATTTAGTCTAATAAAAATAGAAGGTTTTGAAGTCTCTAGACAAAAGATAACTAAAACTAGCTAAATATTAGAAAAAGACTAGATTAACTAACTAGTAGAAGACTATAGTAAAACCTAGAGTTGTATAAATATCTACAAGGGTCTAAGCTAAGTGAATCTATAAAATAAGTATAGACTACTTTAGTAGGTTTGCTTCGAGATTAACTAGCTCTACAATACTAATAATATGCTTAATATAATATATTCTGAGAAGACTTAAGCTATTCTAAATAAATAGATCTGTAACAAGCTAGCTAATTTAAGTAATTAAGTATTGTAGTAATATTAGATTAGATTCTATATAAGTTAATGAACAAAATATTTAAATAAGTAACTTACAGATAGATTATAAGTATAATAGCATAATATAGAACTAATTAGATAATCTAATACTTGTGTAATGAACTACTTAAAATAGATAATGACTAAAGTTATATGTGTAGTTTGTTATATACTCTTTATATAATTACAAACAATAAAGATTATTAATATATAATCCTATTTGCAATACTAATAAAATTCCTTCAATAATATAAATCACCTTTAATAATATAAAAAAAAAAAAGATTTTATTTAGATTAATATATGTAAAATTTGGCAAAAAATTTTTTTTGTTAGAATATTAAAAATGATTTTATAAATAAATTTTTAAGATATAAGCTTTTTTTAAAAAAAATATTTATATTTATTATATTAAATTAATTTGTATATTATATCTTAGACAAATCTAATTGTAACAACTTGTTATATACTTATTTGTAATAACTCAATTAGTACAGCCAATAAAAATAACTAAAACTTCATGTAATCCAAACTCTAACTCTAACTACTATTAGCTAATCTAAGATTGTTATATGTAACAGGTTGTTATGAGAATATTTATTCTTATATCTTATCTTACAAATTTATTAGTAATAATTATCAGTAGTGATAAATAGCAAACTTCTTTTTAATTTTTTAAAAAATTTTTTTATTTTTGTTATACAAGATTCTGTAATCTAATTGGCTTTATATATAAAAAGATAATATTATTTAAAATAAAAATTAGTAACAATTATAATAAATTATATATATAATTTTAGTAAATAATTTGTTATATAAATATTAAGTAAAATTGATAATATATATACTCTATTAAAAAAATTGCTAACTAATAAAGTTAATATATAGAACTAATAAAACTAATAAAGATAGACTAGAAGTAGCCTTCTTTTGATCAAAACAAAAAAAATATACATTAATATGTATTTTGTTTTGAGAGAAAAATTTGTTACTGTGACAGATTGTATTTGAACATCAAACAGATAGCTAAGTAAGTCTGAAATTGCAAAAAGAAAACAATCTTAAAATTAGAATAGTTTTAAAATAGTTTTAATTTTCTGTATTTGTCTTATTACTAGTTTAGTAATTCTCTTAATAAAATAAAAAGCAAGATTGCCTAAATTAAAAAAAAATAAAACTAATAAAACCAATAAAACTAATAAAATCAGTTAACAAATACTATATCAGATATTATAAGCTAATTAGTCTTTATTAGCTCTATTCGCAAATTATTCTCAATAAAACAATATTAATACGTACGTAGAGTTGTTCTCCATTTACTCTAATAAATAAATATATTAACTCAAGTATTAGGTTATCTAAATAGTTCTATACAAACTACTATATTTAAAATTCAACAATTTTCATATACATATTGTAATAACGCAAAGAAGTACGTACACTTATTTTGTGTAATAATAAAAAAAAAAACAAAAGAATTTGTAAAACAGCCATAAAAAAATTAGATCATAGTATCATATAGACATTACCATATCCGCCGATTTGATTTTAGGGGTCTTTTTTTCATTAAATGGTTACACGAACTATTGATAATAAGATACGTGAAAACAACTAACGATTCAATAAAGGAGCTTCTTTAGTCCATGTATGAAGTAAATAAGAAATAAATACAAGTAAAACGCCTATGTTAAGCTATGAAAGAAGGTACTGTCACGATTTTTTGAGACGTTCGGATATTTTCGGGTAGTGAACGATCGGTTGTATAATAGGTAATAGCAAATTTTCAGAAAAACGGTCTTTTTAACTTTAAACCTATAATTAAATATGAAGATATTACAATATTCTATATACTTAATTATAGATTCAAAGTAAGTTTAAAAGGTCATTTTTATGACAACTCACTTTGTATACTAATTTTAAACAATGATATTCTTCGTTAATTATTGGCTGATTTTGGGGTCAAACCAAATCGGCCCATATGCTTAGATTTGATTTACATAGTGCATCGGATACCCCATGGCTCAGCTGCAGTTTTTCAACTGGTAACTTTTTGTTTTTTATCTCATTCCAAAAAAGGGGTGATACCATCCTTATAAATTTACCTAATATGGCTTACGATTATTAATGCTAATACAATTCCGATTCGGTTATTACTTGTTTTAAAAACGGTGAAACCATCCAAAAAAAAACTATATAAGATTGCTTTTTTGCCCGCACATAATAGTAATAAAAACAAAAAAAAACTAGTTTCAATATGTCCTCTAAATTTCTAGATATTAGCACCGTTATTATTTATACTGGGAACGTTATGAAACAGGCAAATATTAACACTTTCAAAGACGAGGTAGGTTCATTTCATTTCAAATATAAGTTTTCCCGAAGTAAAATCCGTACTAGGTTTTTCGTTAACGAAAGTTTCATGATCTTGTGGATTATTTTAGTCTTTTGTTTCGGTTTATTGAAATGTTTTGTATTTATCTTATAGCTTGCAAGTTGTCTCGAAAATTCTCTAAAAAACGTATATTCTTCATATAATATTGATCAAACTCGTGGCATATTAGAAATACCGAGCGTTTATAGCCAATATAAACTTAAAGATCGTAGTGATTTTGAAATTACAGGTATATCATATTAACGATACAAATCTATTTTAACATTGGATCCAACCAACTCAAGTATTTTATCTTTTTTTTACAATATGATCAGCAAAACTATTTTATCTTCCATCATCATCCACGTCGCCTGATAACCCTTCTATTCCTCCTCCATCTTACATTTCTCAATCACTTTATCTTTTATTTCGTTTACTTGGTATTACTTATGTAGATAGTTATATTGTTTATTTTAATGGTCTATTATTTGATGATCATGATCATGATGATTCTAATTTAGTATTGAGTGATTTTGAAAAGTTAGCTGAAGTTTGGAAAGAATTGGAAAGTCATTATAGAAACGATAGAATTAAAAAATTGGGTGTGAGCGAATTTACAAAAAATAGATTTGAGAGATTCTTAGATGTCGTAGAGGTATGATTATCTCTCAATGCTTGTTTATTGATTTCCATTTCTGTTAATCCCAATCATTTCCTTTTTTATTTAAAAGATTCCACCCAAAATTGATCAAATCAATGTTAAAGGGTGTTGTGATTTGCCACGCCAAATGATTGGCTATGCGAAGGAACATGATATAGAATTATTAACTCATAGAGATCCTACTAGTAATTTTCTTAATTTAATTATTCTTTTCTTTTTTGTTTTCTTTTTGGTTTTCAAATAATTCAATATACAATTGTTTAAATAGATGTTTTGCCATCAGCAACATTTCAAAAAATCTTGAAAAATACAAAATTCTCTTTTAATTCAGAATTATTACCACGTTGGGTATTAAAATATTCTGTTCTTATAAAATGTCGTGAAGTGGTTGCTAACAAAGGGTATTAAATCTTTAATTTAAATATTCGGCTTTTAAAATTGAAATAATTAATATATATATATTTTTTATTTTGTCACATTTCAAGATACATTGTTATGAGTAGTACACCTACTGCAGATTCTAATTTCAGATATCCAATAGAAACGATAGATTAAAAAAAAAAAAAAAGGTAAAATTTTAAGCGTGTTCTACTTTAGCAAAAATTCGGTATGCATCAACTTTGGGTAAATAAATTAAATTAATCTAGGACTTTCAATTTATCACAGGCCAACATACTTTATGATAAACTCGATAATAATAATAATAAAGGAGTCAATAATTTAAATATAATTTGGAATGCGCTAATTTATATTATACAGTTAAACGAATCAAGAGTTTTATAGACTATAGACAATAAATCATTAAATTTGAATTTTGATAGTAATGCTGTATATTTAAATTTGTATTATATAACAAATCTTTAAAGTTTAGAATAGATCTTCAAGAATATCAAGATATTTATGCTTTGAACCTGTTTGATAGTAGTTAGTTTTAGCTTTAAAAACTTTTATAGTAATATATTAGCTTGTAGATATTGAAATAACTAAATTATTTTAAATTAATATTAAACAAGAATTGTATTATCACAAGTAGTATAGCTTTTTTAGTATATTACAAGTAACATAAATTATAGAAAAAGGATTCTTAATGATGTTAAAGCAGAATATTATTTTGCAAAAGCAATTTGTTAGAAAGATTATCTTAAAGTAAAGAGTATTTTTTATTTATGATATAATATCAATAATATAAGATTATTTATTAGTATTTGTATTAAAAAAATTCTAATATTAAGAAGATTGTAGAAAACAAATCTAATTTTTACAAAAGAAGGAAAAGGTAGGGTTTATATATCTTTTTTTAAATATTGTTAAACATAGATAAACAATATTAAATATAACTAAATATTATTAATCATAGCTAAATATTATCAAATATAGTTAAACATAGTTAAATATAGTTAAACATAGTTAATTATAGTTAAATATAGTTAAACATAGTTAAATATAGCTAAATATAAATAAAGATTTCTAAATGTTAATTACTCAATAACTATTAATCTAATTCTTACAAATTATAGTTTATTATAATTATGAGACTATTTTGGTTTTAATAATCTATTCAAAGATATTGCTAACTTATAAAATAATTTATTTTTTTTTCAAATTCGGCAGTCAGGCCACACTTTATTAAAAATTTTTGTATTACCAAAAACCAACAAAGGATTAAAAAAAAACCCTA